CATTATACTCCTGCTATGAGTGAAACCATCCGGTATTTTTCTTTCTCTTTCTGGCTTATCTCACTAAGCATGATCTTTTCCGATGGAGCTAGAATTTAAATTTAGATCAACTATACCTAAATGCCTTGTAGAGGTCAAGTTGAAATTTTATGCATGGAGTCATTGAAACACATGTAATAGGACGATGGCAGCAGGCACTTCCTAGGCAATTGTGTGTGATGTCCTGTGCAGCTTAACTTTTTAGATGACTGTCAAAATTGTCACAATGTTTACAAGAAACTAGTAGACTTTTTGGCATTTATGCTTGCCTATTTGGAGTAGAAGACAGTCCTAAATAGCCCTGAAGTAAGAGGTTGTATGGGAAACTGAGAAACTCTGAGTCAGCAGTAGATTATAGAGGTCCAAAAAATAAATAGGACTGGTATATTAGAGATTGCACCTGGTTCTTAGGGGGTGTCTTTCAGCAGGGGGTGGATGTGTCGTTTGGAATTTGAAAGTTGTGGCATCACAACTAGCTATTAGTTTTACTTACTTTTCCTGTGTCTGTCTCTCCAAATAGACAAGATCTGTGTGGAACAGAAGTAGGTATTTCACTTTGATTGTTAGACCAAGCTGAATTAGAGATTGACTCATTGGCACACACAGAAGACTAAACCCATCCAGATTAGACTGATCTTGATTACATGAAGTAATAATGTTATTTGACAATTTGATTGAAGACAAATTGCTTTCCAGTTTATTGGTAGTTCCAGATTCCTTGGATTGCATGGGTTCTTCCTTGAAAGTACAGACATCCTTTCTTTGCTGATGTGACTTCAGGTTATATTTCACTGTCATGGAAAAGGTGCAGTCTGGGCTGAATTCCACTGAGATTAGTTAGGGCTGAAGGATTTTAATGACAAACGTAGCACTACTGTCACTGCTATATTTTTTCCACAGGCCAATTATTCATACTGCATGACAATTCCAAATTAATGGCCCCCTTGAAACTGAGGCATTCCGACAGAAGGTCACTTCCCTTGCAAATGTTCCCATTGCACAGTGAGAGTTCTGGCCTGGCTCCCCAGCTGCAGTTCCTCATCCAGATTTCCAGTCTGCAGTGCCCTCAGTCTTGCTTCCCAGCTGGACTTGGGAGAAACAAAGTGGGGAGAGCCCATTCAGTCCCCTCGTTTCTGGTAGCAACGCCTAACTGGCTCCAAAAACTACCATTAAAGACTTTGACACATGTATTCACTTAATGTTCAAGGGTCTGGGGACTGTGTTGGCAAGGGACTAGCCAAGGCGGTTCCTGGGACAAAGGAGACAGGCTTGGTACCAGCCCTCAAAACAGTGTCCTGGGAAGAAGACATGGAGGACAAGCTGTCGACAGGTGATGGACTTAGAGAAAGATCAAGAGAAGGGGGGCAAAAGCCGTAAAACTGGAGCACTAAGCATGTTGGGAGGGGTGTGGGAGAACATGGTAGAGTTGCTTGGATGAAGGTTGGGGGAGAAAATGTCCATATAAAGGAGCCATTTGCATAAAAACTTTCAGACCAGGAGTTTACTATGTCTTGAATTGGTCAAAGACCAGTGTGGCTGGAGCAGAGAAGGTGATGGGGAAACAAGTCCCAAGGGGCTGAAAGAGAAGGCAGTTGGGCTGTGGGGACCCTGAGAATCAGAACAAATGTTTTACAGTCGTATTGTAACCTGGTAAGATTATTCATTCTTAGCAATTCCCTGTTGCTGCCTGAGATTCTCCACCATCCCCAGCAGCCCCTCCCATATTGTGGAGTCCCACCCAGAATGCTCCATGTCTGTTACTTCCAGTCCTTTCTGCCACCAGGTAGCACCAGTAGCGTACACTCAAATCTATTTCCAAAGAGGAGCATCAGCCTCTAAAGTTTGACCAGAAAAAGCGGGGGTGGGGGTGGGGTTGCCACAGGGAACACCCTTCCATCCCTCCTAGTCCATACAGGTATCCCACATATCTTCAAACATGCCACACAGCCTGTCCAAGCTCCATTTCAGGAGTGAGAAGTTGGAGAGGAGAGGAAAAGGCCTAAGAAATGTAAGCTGGTCTGCTTTAACCAAAGTGTCTTTTTCTATATTCACCTTAAATTCTAAGAAAATGGATATTTTTTTGCTTGAGAAGACATATTGCATGTTTCAGTTCCCTGAGTTTAGAGAAAATAAAACAGGGTTAAGAAAAAATTATGTTGCTATTTACAGATATTTTTGTGTATGTCCACTTGGATACACATAATATGTGTTCCATTTTGCAAAGTTTAATAATGAAATGAGACCTGCGCAGGATGTTATATGAATGACTGTTCATGGCCTCTATATGACATACCATGTTCAGGGTTAAGCAGTGGAGTACATGGAAGTGAATGGATTCTTCTATTAGGGAGTTAGTAGGAGATGGAGGATGTGGAATATGTGTGCAACTTAATAAGAAAAAATGGGATCACATCACATGGAAGACAAACCTGTCATATTTTAAGAGTTTGTGGGTAACTGCTAAATTTGCCATAGGGCCTATTGTCTCCTAATTCAAAGTAGTTGAGTTTCAGCAGAGTACATGGTTTACCAGCCTCTCTTGTGCACTGTGGCCATGTGTTGTACGAACATAAAAGTATATAGCACTTCAGGATGTTAAATGGAAAAGCTCTGAGCTGACTTGGTTCTTGCCCCCTTCACTGTGGCTTGGAAATGAAGAGAGCTGAAACAGTTGACTTAGATTCAAAGATTAAGGATCATAAACAGTCCTACCATCCCTGAATTGTTAGGAGAGGGAAATAAACTTTTTAGTTAACATTTAAAAATTAGCAGCTTGGCCTATGTCCACTAATGACCAGCTCACGATTATCCCTTTGAATTAGGACATCAGAAGTGTATAGAGGAAACACTGAGCTAATTTTTGGTAGGATTTGAATGCAGCCCTATGGGGAGAAGGACATGATAAGTAGCAGCATCTGGACAGTGACGTGTTGGAACTCATGCCGTGTCGATGACGTAGCTCAATATTAAACAGGCATCAGGAACCAGAGCGGAAGCACAGCTCTGGGATAAGGAACAAGAGCATGGGAACTGACACTGGAGAAGCCTACTCTTTCTGATTTCCTGATCACCAGTTTGATTGGTTGACCTACCAACATCAGCGGGACCTGATGTTCTTTATCAATAAGTTTGAGAAAACTCCCTATCTCCCCGAAGACAAGGCTTTAAGAAGTGCCGCCAGTCTAGCGTCTAGCACATAGTAGGAGGTTCACCACATTAATTCTTTTCCTTTATCTGTGACTGCTAGCATCTCAACAGATATGATGGCTAATTTTATGTGTCTGTATAACATTGGTCAAACATTATTCTAGGTAGAGGGGTGTGGGGTTGGTTTGTTTCCTGATTCTAATTTTATTTTTATTGTCATTTTGGAGGTTACAGCTTTGTTCTTCCCTATGTGCACATGTTCAGTCACCTGGAGCTCACACCCTTCTGTTTCTGAGGGGGATTTTTGGGTGAGATTCATATCTGAATCAGACAGGTAAAGCAGATACCCCTGTCTAATGTGAGCGGGTCTTGTCCAAGTAGTGATGGCCTCAATGGATGAAAAAGGGCTCTTCTCCACAAACAAGAGCACCTGCTCCTGCCTGGCTGCTGACTTTGGAAATCAGCCTTTGCCTGTCTTCAGACCTGAACTGAAGCTTCGCTCTCCCTGGGTCTAGCTGGAACAACACCATCGGCTCTCTTGAGTCTCTGGTTAGCTGATTGTAGGTGTCAGGACTTCTCAATCTACATCATGTGAGCCAGTGCCTTATACTAAAAGCTTTTTCTGTGTGCGTGTGTGTGCGCATACTCAGACACCGTCAGACCCTGTTGATTCTGTTTCTAGGCAACCCTGACTAATCAGCAATCTGTCAAGAGTGCCTTCTAGAAGTGAAAGTTAATCCAGCCTGGAGATGTCATGTATGCAGTGCTTTCCTAGATTAGGTTTTGCCAAATCCATTGAATAGCTTACAAGAAATCAATATGTAATGAACCTTGAATTTGCACAAACCTTTGACAAAACTTAGATAGATTTCCTTTGCAGGCAAAAGGAAACAAAAAAAGGCTTGAGACAAAACACAGAGGCAACAGTGTGAGAGGAGATAGCTGTGCGCAGTGGGAAGGAGAAGCTGGTGATGGTTCATATACACTGACTTATTCAATTCCACACACAGGTTGTGCAGGTCCTGCACTCATGCTAGATCACTTTGTTCACTTATAAAGACTCCATGTGGGCTAGGAGCTCGCTGTATATTCCTTACATAGAACACAATATAAAAATTTATGTTGAAAGAATGAAAACCCCATGATCTCAGTTTGACCACTACATCACCATCATAGGTCCATGCAAAATGTACACTTCATTTTGCATCTCACCTAATTCTCACCAAAAATGAACTTTAAGAAAAATACATTTTTTTAAAGCTAGGATGGCTTTGTCTTTGGGGATTTTCCTTCTTTTGGCTTTATTGCTGAAAAAAAAAAAGTTTTTTCTTTTCTTTCCACAATGATTCAACACCTGTGGAGAACTTATACTGACCATCTCAAAGTTCACATACCAGGAAGGGATTTTTTTATTTAATTGGGGGAGGGAGAGAGGCAGGAGGCAGGCAGGACTAGAAGAGAAGAGCTTTTCATTTGCAGGCCAGAATCCTGAAACTTAAGAAAA